TAGTGCGGTACGTGGTGTCTGCCCCCCCTTCCCGCACGGGGCGCCGGTAAGAGCTGCGGGGTGTGCGCACAGCCTGCGCTGTGCCGCCTGCCTTCATCCGGTTTGCAGTGCATTGAAGCAGGCGAGGGTGCTGACGTTCAGTTTCATGTGCTCTCTCAGTCCCTTAGAGACACAGTCCTCTGAAATTCGTGAACCAGCATGCTCGGCAGAAGACCTAAAAAAAGCCCTCAGGCAAAGGGGCAGGGAGCTGCAGTTGCAAAGCAGGTAAGGAAGGCGAAGGGCCAGGGAGAGATGGTTGTAGAGCAGGTAGGGAGACCTCCTGCTGCTCTCCACAATCGTCTTCTCTTGGTCAGACCTCTCGCTGCTGTTTTCCTGCTAGAATCTCCTGTGCCTTAATAAGATACTGGAAGACCGTGAAAAATAAACTGCAGTACCTGTTTTCCTGCTTTCTCTTTTAACGCATTCTTCTTGGTATAAATATTTGAGATGCAGCAGTGGAGGCCTTCCAGGGAAACCACGATATTGTAACGCTGTAATCTTTGCATGAGACCTCATGACTCACACTTAGAGTAGTTTCCTACCCTATCTATATTGAGATTTAATATTAACTTCAGTAACAGTATTGAGGTTTTTCTTACACCTTTAAGAGAAAGGAATAAGAAGACCAGAATATCAAGTAACAAGTTCAGGGGCACATATGGGAGAATGTTAAAATGCTGCACCAGAGACAGTTAATCTTAATTTCCTTCTGTATGGTCATATTTTTTCTTATGACGGGTAGACTGGTAAGCCTATGTCCATCTCCTGTAGCTGAAAGGGAGCTTAGTTTTGTCTGCGTGTTGGGTGTTAAAGCAGATTGGAATAGAATGTTAGAATGGAGAAAATGGCTAAGATGCTCTGTTTTGATAACTTCTTAGAAATTCTTATTCTTACAAAGGAGACAGAATGGTTTTATTAGAGATCTGCAGTGTTGTTGCTCTAATATGAAAGTTTGCATTTCTCAGTCGGAAAGGTAGTATATCATTTAGTTCATTTGAAAAAGGGAGAAGATAAAATGTGAAAATAACTTTCTCCCTCCCCCCCAAAGAAAAGAAACCAAACTCTAAAAAGATGAAGAGTAGATCAAGGATCTCGTTAACGTATTTCACCAGTTCCTAATTCTGTACAGTTAGTTATTCAGCCTGTCTTACGGCATGGAGGGTTGAAACAAATGCGCTAATGTTTTTTTCACTTGCAAATGAACTCAGTTTAAACTACTTTTGAGCTGTGTCGTGTATGAACTGCAAGATTTTCTATTTATTTTTCCTCTTTTATTAAACATCTAGTACTATTAGTTTCATTGGAAAAGTACCTTACTGAACAGACTGAGAGGCCTGGAGCTAGAACTGCGGGAGTCTGTGCTTGGCTCCGTCCTTTGCTACACTTGCTTCCCTTTGGACACTTGCAGCGTAGCAGTGGGCAGGTGACATGTGCTCCTCATCCAGTGTGCACATGGATGGGAGGTGTTCGTATGTTCTGTAGTACTCCAATCTTTAGATCACCATTATAAATATTTCCTAATTAAACCTTGTCCTGACAAAATATTTCAAGGCAGTAGCCACCAGCACCTCAGTGCCTACAGGGCTTAAAAAAACAAACCAAAAACCCCAACCAACCAACCAAAAACAACCCAAAAAAAGTTATTACTGATTCACACTAGTTGACAAACTGACAGGCAGCTTCAGCTGTCCTTTGGCACGTTTAGCAACAATTGAGTCAAATTCTGATTACCATTATTAATAATATTCCCTGGGATGCTGCTCCTTAGCTGATGATGTTCTGTTCCAGGCAGTTTGTCTTCTCCAGTGCACTGCAGGCGTTGCTGGGTTTGTAGTGGCTGCATTTCTCTGTGTGCGCATGTGCTTTCCCTGTGTTTATGTTTTGTAAGCTGAGGTAATGAGAAGTACAGAACAGTTCTGTATATGTAAATACAGCTTCTTCCAAGAGATAAGGGTGAAATCCCTGCAGTGTACACAGGTCGGACCTGTATTGCATGAATGATGGCTAAATATTTTTTAGCTTAGCTGTTACAGGAACTGCCCTAAACTTCCTGATGGTATCTGCTTCGTGAGGCTCACTGTAACAGGCATCATTTTATTTTACTGTGTTCTGTCAGACTATGAGAGAGGCTTGATTTTAAGAAATCATTGGTTGCGTAGAGCTTTAGAGGGAGTATTTGTGGCTTGTTAAGATCTGTGTACCTTATGTCAGTTGTGGGTGCCTGGTATGTGTTGTTTTGGTAATAGAAGTGGTATGATAGTGAGCTGGAAAATAATGAGCAGAATCCAGAATGCATGAAAATGTTTAGATAATCCATGCAGTGTGCTGTTTTTGAGCGTCATCTCTTTTCTAACTGCAGTAATTTTACTTTTTTTAACTTCCCCTTGGCTCCAGCTGGGGCTGTTTGTAGACTTCAACCCTGAAGAGATGCTGTTGGGTGCAGAGGAAGGTGGCGATGATGGGGACCTAGAAGCAGAGCTTGCTGCTATCACAGGAGTAAAAGTGAAAGAAGGGAAATCAAAACCAAAAGGGAAAAGTAAGTTAAAATACCTGGATTTTATTTGTTGACAACCTGAATAATTTATTAAAAATACCTATTTACAAATTATTTATTTATCTAAAATGTTTTTTCATCACTGATAGAAGCTGAAATTGCAACTACTCTTTCTCAACTACTACTTTGAAAGGTTACTCCACAAGAGGGGTAGGAATGTCTGTGTGGCTGTAGACACAGGAGAAAGACGTGTGATGGCTGGCCAATTTAATGGCTAAGTTCAGACATGCTTGTTTAGCATATGAAGTCATAAAAAGGTGTAGGAAGTGCTAGATGAATTCAAAATGGAAGTTGTGTTTCTTGTGGAGGGCGGGTTGTTCGTTGTTTAGTTCTTCTGTTTTTGTTTAAAGACTGAACTTACTGAATGAGCATTTTTTTAGTTACTTGGGGCCTGTAACCAAAATTGAATACCCTTTTAAGAGGGAAATCCTGGAACTGATGGAATTACTGGGAGAATCCTGTAGCTTGTGGTATGCAGGAGGTTAGAGTGCCTCTTGGAATGGATCATTGCTGTTCTTAAAACTAACAGATGCTGAAAGTGTTCTCTGACAGTGTTTGCATGCAGCTATGCAGTGTTTTACAGGATTGCTGTAATCTGCTGCTGCTGAGGGGAGCACTCTCTAGTGAGCACGCTCTGCCTCCGAGCTGGTGTACATATTTATGGAGCTGCAGGGTGAGCTGGTTCAGGAAACTGATCCGTAAAAATAAACGGCTGGTGGTGTCCTAGGTCTTCAGCTGAATCAGTTCCTTGATCTGGTCTGCTGCCTCCCTGTTTGGATGCGGCTGTGGCTACAAGGGAGGGGTGGCAGCAAGTGGTTGAGATGGGAGAAGGAGAATGGCACCTCACCTTGCGACGGGTGTGTGAGCAGATGGGGGAAAGAGGAGTTACTGCAGCTGCAGCCTTGTTTGCAGCTCTCAAGTAATTTGCCTGTAATATTTGAAGGGACTTCACACGGAGCACCAGGGAAATGAAGAATTTAAAAATATTTAGAAAAAGTGACTGTTTAAATACTGTAATTGATGAGAGAGAGAGGAGGTGTTTGTATCTAAAACTAAATTCTAAATTTCCACTCTCCAGATTTCAACAATGTAGTAAGCCTTTAAAGCTAATAAGCATAATTGTGCTAATAACCGCAATAGCAGAACTTCTGCCATTGGACATAGGTTACTTGTGGTGAAAACAGGCAGGACAGTGTTTTGAGGATGAATCTGGGTGTCAGAAGCTCTTGAGTTGTCAGCTTCCTTCTAGCCCTGATCATGTCACTTAATGTGCTTTTTTAGTCTCTTTATCCGTAGGAGGGAAATGAAACTTCAGACAGTGCAAAACTAACATTTACTGTGCCTCTAAAGGTATCTGTTACGGCTTATAAAACTATTTTCCAAAGTCATTTACAACTCATCTGTTTTCTTGATTGAATTGGGAGTGTGTGGATTAGGAGCTCATAGAAGGTGAACAACTGGGGACTCATGAGACCTGGTGCAGTGCGGAGATGGGAACATGGTGCTTGATGGGGGCAGGATGCAGGCCGACGTCTGGAAAGGAGGAGGGTACAGTAAGGATGACAGAAACAGCTCCTGTCTGGAGAAGGATGAAAAAAGGGCCCCAGTACAATACACACCAGTGCTTGTTCTTGGCTGAGCACAAGGTGCAATAATTCGTTCCTGGATTTACCTTCTAAAGCTCTGATGGGGTGGGGGAAGTGACCTCTTCCTCTAGCTTGAAGATGCAGGCAGCAAAAGCTGTACAGTTGCAACATCTTGAGTGGAGAGATTTCTGCTGTCTGTGGTTGACAAAGGCCGCTTGGGCGGCCGCTCGGATGTTTGACATTGTAGTCTCAACTTGCCAGACTGGATTAGAGCTGAGCCAACCACCCGAGGAGGCTCGCTTGGCTTTTTTGCCTTTAGTGGGGCCTCGTGTAAGGAGCACTCTGACCCCTGGGTACAGCCAGTTGCCTTTGGATATGGCCTGCTACCCTGGGTGCAGTGTTTTGCTAAGGGTCAAATACGTGAGCAGTATGTTTGATACAGGTCCTGAAGCACTGATAGGGCCAGTTAGAATATTTAAACAGAAACAGCTTTGTACCTGGGTTAATTTTCAGCTGATTCAGCAAGTGTAGAGGAAGGATGGGTTCCATTTTAGATCCATTTAAATTGACTGTAAAACTCTGTCCTGAAGATGTATATTTTATTCACCATTTACTGACACTGGTGAGTCACAGTCTTATGTCTGCATAGGGAAGTGTCAGAGGCATTTACATGGACAGTTGGGATTTTTGTGCAAATAACTTCACCTTTGAGAGTGCGTGGGGGAAACTGATAGTTAAGATGTGCTTGGCACAGCATGAAGTAGAGGTGAGAACTCAGCAAGGAGGAGTTAAGTGGAGTTTTCAGAGTAGAGACAAGAAGCTTGAAGAGAAATTGTGAGGCAAAGTAGCCAAGAAAGATGTGGGAAAGGGGAAATCTCGTGGATGCGAGACAGCAATGCAGAAAATGTGGAAGTGTGGTTGGAGAGACAGAAGAAACAGCACTTTCCCTGATTTCCTGGAATCTCTGTGCCAGTGCTCTGCTGCTGATTGATTTGGCCATTCTGGTTTTGTATGCCAAGTGTGACTTTGCAGTAATATTTGACGTGTAAAACAAGTAGTTTCGCGAGACAGAAGGGCTTTCTTATCTTCCTTACCTACTGTCTTCAGATATGTGGATAGTTTGCTGTGCCTCCTTGCTTGTCCTGTTAACAACTTGCGGTGTTCAGTAAGTCTCTACAATTGATTTTAACGTGTGTCATCAGTTTCAAAGGATAAATATGTACCCAATTTAACGTGAGATGGACAGAGAGACATTCTCGTGCTTCAGACTGTAGATTGAGAAAATGCTGTTGGAGTCTCAGGTGTAATGTAGACTCTGTACGAAACTCCAGTGGTTTAGTTAGTTGCAGTTTGATTGGGAGCTCTGAGCACAGCATTATTTATGGTAAATGCCTTGAGCTTGGCTCTGATTTATGGCTACATGGCTCCTCGTGGTTTGTTTTTGCAGCTCCTCTGCCCATGGATCATATTGAAAAGATGGCTGCAGAGTGTATGAAGGATCTGAATGAAGATGAGGAAGAAGAAACAGATGATGAAGACTTGGAGAAAGATACAGACCTGTTGGTATGCGTAACTGTTAGCAAAATGTTTTAGTATGCTTCTGATTTTGGTGTGTTGGTTTGTTTGGTTTTTTTTAAAAACAGAACTACATTTAGGAGTTACGTCTGTTAGCTTTGCAGCGAGAAGCTAAAATATTGCAAAAGCATTCCATTAGATATAAGGCTTTGCAGGATCAAACCCCCTGCACACCAGAGTACGATAGTTTCCTAGCTAATGTTCATATATGTGAGGATCTCGGAGGAGCGGGGGAGCAGCGGGAATCCCATTCCGTGTCAGCTGGTGAAGTGCAGCCAGGGCCATTCTCCTTAAAGTGATGTCTGTCAGCGTTTGGCTGCTGCTTTGAGTGGTGTTTGGCCCCCAGCTAATTCTTGGTCATTTTAGTGAGTGATCTAGTTGGCAGGGTTTAGGGAAGGAGTGTTAAGCAGTGTTTTTGATGCCATTGTTAATAGGTGGTTTTTGGAAATTTCAAATTTGGGTTTGAGTGGTCTTTGTAAAAATACTTCTGTGAACTTCTCCAGCTTCAGATCTCGAACCACAAACTTACGTGGTGATCCTGGAGCTGCAGTTTGGCTTTTGAGTGGTGTCTGGCTGCCTGTTGTGAATACAAGTGGAACCAGTTTCATTTTTAACCAAAAAAATAAAAAGACCCAGATATAGGATGTTTAGACTCTCTGTTTGGGTTCAGGGTCCATCCAAAGGTTTTGCAGCTTGAAACTTAATTTTATATTGTCTTTTTATGAAACAGGAAATTTTGAGGAAAAGTCTTTTGGTTTTTTTGGCTTTTACTTTTACTTTAGGCAGAACTGCAAGAAGTTCTGGGGGAGGAAGATGAGACAGGAGGCTGTGAGGATGAAACAACAGCAATGGAGCCATCCGCAGCTGAACCAGAAAATGGGCAACCTGTACTCCAACCACAGGTAGGAAAGAGCTTCATGTTCCTGACGGTTTTGCTGAATCACTTGTCACGCAGCTTGCATGAGAGTCACAGACAAGGATCTGGAGGGGTCTTCGTGTCTTCAAAGGAAGGAGAAGCTCCACTATTGCTGTCTTCTCTGTGGTAACCAATGATGTATTGATATAGGTTATTTTTTTTGCTTTGTTCAGAGGATGGTTTTTAATGTTAGCATAGAATTGAGGAGGTAAACAGTTGGAAACAAGCATGTCTTGGCCCTTGTTATACGTATTAGCATGCAGACTGCAATTCAGGCTTCCAGAGTTCGTATCTGCCCCTCAGAGTACCAAGCAGCGTGCTGAAATTGTGAGACTTGTTATAACTCGACATCTTTGACGTCTTTGTGGAGTTTTTCTCGGTAGCATTACCTGTTGCAGCTTAGTTTGTCAGTCCTTGTGGAGTCAAATTCTTTATTCAGTTACTAACATATTTCTGTTGTGTGCTACAGATTCCAGTGCCCTTGTGCACTGGGCCCATTAATAAATGGGTCTGAGAGCGTTTCTATAGAGATAATGGCAGTAATTGCATCAGGAGCCATCTGAAAGGTCTCTGTCGCTGTGGAGTGTTTGTTACTAGCTATTCGTAACTTTGCTGAGGCTGCTTTTGTCACTGAACTAATTCCAGGCTGTGGGAGGAGGAAGAAGAGCTCTTGTGGTAAAACCAGGTTGAAGAAGCCTGAGAGAGAGTAAACTAGCATGGTTTGAAAATAAATAAGAAAAGAAAAAGTCAAGATTTGTGCCAAAATACCTCTTCACACCCTCAGTTGTGTGGTGGTTGAGAGGCTTTACTGTTCTCCTTCGCCTAGTCCCTAACCACATGGCTCCGATTACCCTGGGACTGGGAATTTTCTGAATGTCTCCACCCATCCTTCTCTATTGCGCCTTTGAGAGAGAGCCCAGAGGTGGATCCAGGGACTGTTGGCGTAGTACAAGTGCTTCTCTGTTTTAGAGACTCTCTCTTCTTTGCGCTCTTGCTTGATGGAAGTATGTGTAGAAGAGGAATGTTTGGCTTTCAGTGCTGTGGGAAAACTCGTATTGTTGGATGAAATAAGTTTTCTTGATTTGTTTTATTATTTTTTTCTGAGACCACCTCACTTCCTGCTGTTACCAGTGAGCTGCAACAGACAATAGAGAAGAGAATAGCTAACTATAAGGCAGCAATATCTAACGCAAAGGAGTCGGGTGAGAGTGCCAGAATACGCCGGTACGAAAGAGGCCTTAAGGTAAGTTGGGTTCCTCAGGTACGCGAATAAGGGGGGTCAAAACCACTTTCCTAAGGTGTAGTTCAGAGTCTTTCCAGATACGTGAATTTGTTTAAAGGGGAGGCAAATTCTAATATGCTGCCTTTAGTTACTTTAAAAACATTTCTTGTTACTTACTACTAATGTGATACAGCAAATACACAGGTGTGTATACACAGAAGTGTAACTTCAGATGCCTTTTGTGCACCAGCCTTGTTTCTGTTGAATGTGGCTAGTGGTAGCTGGAGGCAGGGTATTTGGTAAATGCTGATGTTAAACCCACTGCTCTAGATCTGAATGCGACTTGCGGTGAGCCTTCAGAGTTACCTTTCCTAGCACATGTACCTTCCAGCTCATCACTGAGGCCTTTCTTTAGACACTAACCTTCCACTCAGCTCTGTGAGGCAGAGGAAGGTGATAGCTTTCCCTGAATGTGTTGACTGTGCTTGAAAATGAATAGAATGGGGTTTTTCATTAAGGCAATTAAAAATTGCGGCAAGGAGCGGTTCCTTCAGCTTTGCATTTTTTCAGCCAGGTGGCGTGCTTGCAGTTGGTTGTGCTTGGAGATTAGGGCTGTGCAGAGTGCCTCTGTTTCCTTGTTTGCTTTCATCTGGTCTCCTGCATCACCTCAGACAGCAGCCAACCCTGTCTTGTTGAGCAAAGCTTTGTAGCTCAGCACTGTCAGCAGAGGGAAGAATGTAACCTCTCGCTACCAGGTGTCTTGGGATACAAAGGGAACAACTGAGGCCAAACCCAGGGCAGGAAATGCACAAGAAAGGAGATGTCTGGATGTGTCCACTGCCTGCTAGCTCTGACAGGAATGCACGTGCTCACTTATTTAAAACCCTTCCTTCACCACAAATATTACCTGCCTCAGAAACCACCTGGCCTTTCGGAGAGCAAGAGGAGTAGGCAAACCAGCTTGTTTCATCCAGTAATGAGGCTTAGTGCACTGTTTGCCATTTCCTTTATTTTTCAGGATAGGGAGTCTCCCTGTGCTTAAGCAGTGTAGCTAAGGATAATACACTAGATCTCGCTTCACAGCTCACAGTTCCTTAATTAGCAAAATGACATGCCAGCAAATGGTGTGCAGTTATCTCTTGTACTTAGTTCTTGGAGCTGTGAACTTTAATCTCAGTGTTTAATTCTGTTTCCAGTCAGTCTGTCATCCCACACGTGGAGAACAGAGAGCTGTGTGTGGGTTGCTGTACTGGTCTGAACCCCAATCTTGCATGCAGTCAGTCCAAAGTATCTCTGCCGCTGTTGCTTAATAGGTCAAACAATGTCATGGCTAACCAAAAATAGCAGTGGTTCTGTCACTGATGAGATTTTGTTGTTGTTTTCTTTCTGTGCTTCCATTGCAGTTTCTGTGGAAGATGAAAGAAGTAAAACTTTTGTTTTGGCTTAAAATGCATGGTGGTCTTTTGTCTGAACCTTAAGTAAAAAAAATACTGAGGCAGGTAATACTTGTGGTGGAGGAAGGGTTTTGGATAAACGAGCAACAGTTAACCGGTGTTACAGATGATGAGAGCTTCTTGCCATAGGTCAACGGCTGAAGCTCCATTTTCTTTGTTAATATGTAATGGCTTTTCTTCTTGCATTAAATAGGTGTGCAGACTCCTTCCTTCACTGAGTCCACATAGACAGTGACATTTCAGAGTAGTGTATTGTATTTTGTTGTAAAGACATAAAATACATCTACAGTTGGTATAAATGGCTTCGCTGGTGACTTTCTGTGGCAAAGCTGAGTGGACCACATCAGCTACCCAGCAATTCTAGGTGTTGAGGTACTTAGAAATACACAGTTTGGGTAGCAAGTGCTTTTCATTGTGTTGCTCCGATACTTGGACACCTTTCACTAACGCTGAAGTTGGCCTTGCAGAAAAATAGGGAACTAAGGGGCAGCAATCTGTAGTGGTGTGCGTAATAGATCCCATCACGTGTAAGGAAATTAATTTATGTTTTAATGATTTTATGCTAGTAATATGAAAATGCCTGTTGACTTTGCTGTTCCTTCTCTGCCAGACACTGGAAACCATGCTGACTGCAGTAAAGAAAGGCAAAAAAATCAATGAGGAAGAAATGCCACCTCCTGTTGCAACAGGAAAGAGTTCTTCTCATTTATCTCAAGCCACAGGAGTGGAGGTAGAGAATTTGGAAGATTCAGTCAGTGTCCCACCAGAGAATAAAGCTGACTCTGCTGCAGATGATGAGCAGAAGACCTCTCACGAGACAGCGCAGCACCTGGAATCAGAGTCTCTACAGGGTCATGCTGCTTCTAGTCCTACCGTGGAAACAGGTACCGTGATCTGAGAGGATGAGCAGCTGCAATGCTGTTTTAATGCTACATCTTTCCTGATATTTGTGTTGTGTAACAAAGCACTGCTTGTGTTGGAACTTCCCTGCTGAATGGCTCAGATAAAGCTGTCAGTGGGATGCTGGATTTCCGGGAGTAGAATCACTTCTTGTTGTAGAGCTCTTATGTGCACTGTATCATATCTTTCAGTTTTCCTGTGCCTCAGTTTCTCCTTCAGTGTAGTGACGTGGAATTCCAAGCTTTAAAGAGTTTTGAGATATTGGCTTAAAGACTTTTTTTAAATTGGGAGAAGTGGGATTGTTATGTCTGGTAGACTTCTGGAGGAAAAATTACTTTTGTAAGATGGCTGTGTGGTTCAGAGCAAAAGAGGACAAATGTAGGTTTGAATAGATGGACCTAGCAGGGGACGCACATGTTCTGTGTAAGTCTTGGCATTGTTTCATTCTCGCAGATCTCCAGAACAGCAGCACACGAGCAATACTACTTAAGAGGCAGAAGGAGTATAAATTAGCAGCTCTAAAAGCCAAGCAGCAAGGGGACTTGGAAAAAGCAAAGGAATACATGAGGGCAGGCAAGGTATGAACACAAGAAATCCTGAATGCTAAACTACCCTATGCTGTACCCACGTGCACTGAGTGTCAAATAGCAAGTTTAGACATACTGGAATAAATCTTCTGGGTTTTCTGCCTTAGAAATTTAATGTGGTCTTGGAAGCTTTGGACAGTGGGCAGCCAATAGACCTCCAGAACATGCCTCCATCTCCTCAGGGTAAGGCCTGTCTTACAGAAACCCTTTTAGTAGTCTTTCTTTGCTGTATTGAAATGATTCTGCATTTGGTGGCAAAACTACAAGAAGAATTGAAGATCACTTAGATCTGAGTCTTGCTGCTTATTCAAATTCTAATCAAGACGAACAACAAAAAATGGTGTCATTATTTGTGTTGAAGTTACTATCTGTGAATTACAAGTTCATGTAGGTATTGATGTCTAATATTTATATATTTATATATTAGTCACAGACATTTACATTTTACATTCCTTGTAGGAGAGGTGTTGGTTTGGTTTTTTAAAATAGATACAGTATCACCACCAACAATTAATATTTGGCTTGTGCAACTCAGTGTTTTAAACAATTTATTTCAGTAGATTTTTATTCTAAGAAACTAAATGACAGATTATTTTATTTCAATAAGTCATAAAGTTTATGACTCTGTAAGTTATAAACTGATCACCAAATGGCATTAGAGAGAAACTTCACCCATGATATAATCTTGCCTTTAAAAAGCACAGTCACCAAATGGCATTAGAGAGAAACTTCACCCCGATATAATCTCGCCTTTAAAAAGCACAAGGTTTTTGCAGTGGATATTTTGGTAGTTTTCTGAAATAACCACTGTTACACAACGCCAGAAACTTGGGTGTCTGAATGGATGCTATTACTTGCTTCCCGTTTTCAGCACATCTTTTGTTACTCGGATATTTTAGTCAATTAGCAATCTTTTTTTTTCATCTGCCAAGATACCAAGTTATATTTTGGGTAGAGAATTCTTAGAGTACTTGAACTGGTTTTACCTTTTTTTTTTACCCTCTCCCTCAAGCAGCGCTAACCTAAATTAAATCAGCATTTGAGATTTTCTATTATAAAGCATTTTCTTTGAATAATGGGTACCTTAGACTTATCTAGCCACGCAGATATTGTTTTGAAGCCAAAAAGCCTTTAGGAAGATGTTGTGATCAAATGGATGGTTTTCTGAGTAGCATGAGTTGACTCAGTGTTTGTGCAACATGCTGTGAAACTTTCTGCTTTCCTTGCTTTGCAGATCTTGAAAGCTTAGGAAACGTACAAGATGCATCCAAGCAAAAGATACCAGTGGGAAGTTTCCAGGATCTTATAACACTTGAACCTCAGACCCAAGAAGCTTCAGGTAGGATTCTGGGTTTCTGTAGCAAGCCATAAAAGTAGCTGGGGTGGAAGGCTCTTTAAGGTCTGCCCTGTCCCTCTGAACTGCAGCAGAATTGAGTAACCCTAGCTAACGTTCCTGAATATTGTTTGCTGCTGATCCCATTTGTACTTTTGTTCTGCATCAGTAATGAAAGTAAAAGTTAATAAACTTTCTTTAGAAGAACTATACTCATAATAAGATTTTGCAGTGGTTATTTTTTCTCTGTAGAAGGTAAGGAAGGGGAGGAGGAATGTGACTTATGTGTCTTGCAATCTGAATCATGTGGCATTTCATTGTCTGTCTTATTTCAAGCTTCCCTCCAGCAGCCAAAAACAGTGCTGGAAGCATTGCAGCAAAGGCTTGAGAAGTACAAGTCGGCAGCAGCACAGGCTAAAGCAAGCGGGGATGATCGGAAAGGCAGGATGCATGAGAGGATAGCCAAGGTAAAATGAAAGTGTAGCAAGCTGCTTTCATTCAGCAAAGCCATTTGAAATAGTTCTCTAGCTGAGGACTTTTTCAAGGCTGAAATAGTTCGTGTATTGTCCTTCTGTTTGAAATGAGCTCCAGTAGGGAAGCTGTAAAGCATTCGAAGGACGGAGAAATGGAGACAATACACTGTATTTTGCTATAGTATGTGCATTCTGCAGTATTTATGCTGGTTAAATACAGATGATTGCTAATTTATAGACAACTTCATTGTATGTCTTACTGAATGTCTTTGATTACAGCAATACCAGGATGCCATAAGAGCCCATAAAGCAGGGAGAAAAGTGAATTTTTCTGAGCTACCTGTTCCCCCTGGTAAGTGTGAATATAAAATATTTTAATAACTTTTAGCTAATACAAGTTCTGTATATCTACTGGGCTCTGAAGGAGGTGTGCAGTTACTGCCTCCTCATCCTGCAGAACAGCTCCTCCTTTTTGTCACTCAGTAGGCTGGCCTTGCCATTTGATGGTATTGTCAAACTGCTCATTAATATGCACCTAAGCTTTCACACTGGTGACTATTCCAGACTACTGACTGCCTGTTTGCAGCATCAGAACTTGAAACTGGCCCTGTTCGAAAAGTTAAAACAACTTAGCCTTGGGCAGGGGCTGACAATGTCTCTTGGCTGTCCTCTGTGCCAACCCTCCTAGAGAGAGTAAATTTGGGTTATATTGGTCTCTTAGTTTACTGGAAGGAGATTTTGGAAGCTGAAAGCATCATTCTTCTTATCTTGTGCCTGATGTGTTCTTCTGAAAAGATACACATAGCACTGCAAAATGGTGCCTGGATTTTTTTTAGTAAAAAAAACCAACCCAAACTAACCCTAGAAAAGGGACACCAAACCTTGTAGCCTTTTTGTCACTGTCAAATGTGGCAATGGCAAGCACTGTAGTGTAGTAAAGTGAGCAGTGCCAGCTCTGTCAGGTCGTGTACTGCTTCGAAGCTGTCTCTGAAAAGCAGTTTAGCATCCTTTGTTCTAGAACATGATTTATTTCTTGGTAAACATCAGTTTCTGTAAGAGTGAGGTACTCCATATTTACACCTCTGAAAATATTGATCACTCCTCAGTTTCCTTACATGTTAGCTGCGTGCTCTTCAGCCATCATTTTGCGGCCATATGATTTCCATGGAAGACAACTGTTAGGCAGTCACTGGAACCAGCAGTGAGGTTATCATGGACTGGCAGTGCATTGCATTGCACCTGGATGATGATAAGCACCAACCGTGACCTTCCTAGGGACAGAAATGCTGTTGAGTAACAGATGAAATGTCACACGGGGGCAGCAGCATGGGGTTGTGTTCTGCCTGCCTCTGAACCTCAAACTTGTTCTGTCCCCGTAGCAGCCATCTCTGGGTTTAGAAGCTGTTTAGTCATTATTTCTTGGCACCTCTAATGAGACTGACAACAAAGATACTTGATACATACTAATGAGATAAATCTTATTAACAGACATTTGGTAGTGGTGGCTCTGGGTCTCTGTCGCTCGAAGCTGATGATGAACTGCTAGTGTGGAAGTGAGAGTTTATCTTCCATCCTCAAGCCTTCCTCCCATCCTTAAAAGGAATATAAAATAATGAAAAGACTGGTTCTTCATATACTTCACATTTAACTACTGTGATTCTGCCTTACTTTGCAGCCTCTGCATTGCAGTAGATTTTCAGCAGAGACTTAATGTGATATCCAGGTATCAGCAACGTGGTGTTTATTATTGTGCGAGGTAGCGCTGATTTTTCTGCTGGCCTGTGTACCAGCTAAGGTGAGGCAGCAGTGAGAGAGGAAAAAAAAGAGCCAGCAACTTCTTGTACCATCCACTGACCTTTTGTGCAAAGGAGAGAGAAGAAGTTCTTTGCTGGTTCTGGGGGCATCTCTGTTACCAAAGTCTTGAGGTTGTGAGATTCCCTGGCTGGCTGCCAGTTGCTCAACTTAGAAAACTGTGCTCTGAAATGGCATCATTTTAGCATCATCCCTGTAAGCCTGGATATCTGTGAGAGAGCTGATCTTAAGCCCACCACTCAGACTTTATCTAGCAAGGCTTGGTGGCCTAGTTACGCTGAGTTCTGAAATGTATTAGATAATAGATACTTGGATAGAAATAGCTTAGAAAAGAAGAAATATGGAAGACAGAACATAGGTCTTATGCAACTCTTTACTTCTGTATTCCTTTCCTCCTCAGGATTTCCTCCTCTTCCTGGTGTTGCAGCAATGGATGGTGACAAGACAATAACTGCAGTTCTGGAAAATGCCAGCAGGCTGGCAAACATGGAGGAGAACGATGAAGAAGATGAGGTCAGTATTTCTTAGCAGGATGTGTAAGAGTTAAAATGCTGTCTCTTGTGTACAGAGATGGGGCCATTGGGTTTCCAGTCAAGCGAGGGTACTGAGGTAAAATACATTTCTCAGAAGTCTGGGATCTTGGTAGTAATCTTAGTTTATATTATAATGTAGGAAAGAGAGATGAGATGTTATTACAGTCAGTATCTACAGTGTCTGTGAGTCCAGAGTTTGGCTCTTTCATAACTGTCTTATATGTGAGTTTTATTTTCAAAGCAAACACTTCAGATCCTGGCCACCCCTTTACATTGTTCTAATGTACTTAAATCTGTACTTTCAGCCTGCATCCCAGCAGCTCCTATGTTTCTGCTTTCCTGGAATGTTCAACACTTACTGCTTTTTGTCAGGGAGCACCGTCCTTTAGACTTTGATTTCTTTCTCTCTGTGGATTTGGTTGTTGGCTGCGCTTTATACTGCAGTAGTGCTTAATGGAGAGAATTGCTTTTTTGCATGCAGCTGCTTTTTGTGAAATCGCTGCCTTTTTGAACATTCCTTTTGTCTTCTCTAGTGGAGGTTTCATGCTTGCTTAGGTCAACTACCTACTGGTGTGGCATTGCTCATAAACACCTAGAAATTAAAATTTGCTGTCTAGCATGTTGTGCTCCCCTCAAAAGGGACACCAGAAGGCTGACCTAGTGACAAGCATGGCTTGATGTGCTAGAGATGCTGTCCTTAACTCTGGAATAATTTTATGCATTTAATATGAAATTCTTCTTGTTATGCTAGAGTGAACCTCTGACACAGGCCCCAGTTGCCAAGAAGCCTGCTCAGCTGCCTGGAAAGCTGACTCAAGTTGTTAAGCCAATTCCAGTGCCATCTGCTGTAGCTCAAGAGAGCTCTCCTGAGCATGTGAAACCAGCTACATCACCCTCCACCCTGGACAAGACAGAGTCAATGGATCATCTCCCTCCAGCTGGTAAGGTGAAAGGACCTGTGTTCCCAGTGGTCCATGTGCAAGTCATTTGCACTGGTTTAGTTTAATACCTTGGTAGAGACTTCATTATAGTTTACACATGAGCCTGTGAATGTGTGGCATAGATTTCCTCTGACAGGAGCCTCAATATATATGCCTGCTGGAGGGCAGATCCAGACCAGCCATGGAGCTTTATTTCACAGAGACAGCATGTGTAATTATAAGGGTGATTGGGTTTTTAATTAATTTTGATGTAACAAGTGTATCGATTCATAATGTTTAACTCTGCTCACAGCTGAACTCTACATATTGTCCCATTAAAATGAGCAGCTTGCCAGCGTGAATTATTCATCGATCTGATACAGCTTCCTACATCAAACAGTGGTTTCTGCCTAGTGCTTCATCCAAGGATCTCAAACTGGTGTACAGAAGCAGTTCATCAATCTCTAGTCCTCCTGTCGCTAAGGTCACTGACAGTTGTCTGTACAAGATTAATTGTAGTGATAGTAAGGAAGAGCCACGACCTCCCAGTGTGATTTGGGCACACACCAGCAGTGTTCAGGCTCTTGCTGATTCTGTTGTCGTCCCTGGACTGTAATCCCATCCTCCTCCTCCTATTCTGCCTTGCTTGGTTCCCTCGAGACAAAGCAGAACTGCCTGGTTGGCTGATGCAGACTCTTTTGCAGAGTGCAAAGGCACTTCACAGTGCTGCCGTGGTTGGCTCGTAACTCTTCCCTCCAGAAAATTCCATTAATTGTTTTATAAAGAGCACTAAAATGTAGTAGTTGTCCATTTTGGCTTTGAAAAATTGTGAATTCTCAGGAGATTTGGGGTTTTTTGCCATTTTAACTGACATTAATCTCTTCGAGTGAATTGACTTAGGCTGTGAAGGAATTGATAGTACCTGGTCTCTGGTGTTACAGTGATCTCTCCTGGGTATTTCAAGTATTCTAAAATAAGACCATTAGGTGCAACAGGAGCATGGACAGATTCATACTGACTTGATTTTCACAGCAAGATGTCAGTACTTCACTATAATAAAGATACATTTCACTAGCCAAAGTGCCTTCTGGGATCCAGATGTAACCTCCTTCCCCCCGGAATTACAAAGTGCAGTTTACAGCTGCCCATAGCTGATAAATCAACTGTGAAAACCTGTCTTTTTCTTGTTGGAGCATGCAAGGTGTAAGAAGGTGTGGGAGCGGAGTGGAGCTGTTGCACTTCAGGCCTATACCAGAAAAGGAGGCAAGTTCAGTTGGATTAATGGCTTTCCCCAGTCCATTCTCGAAGGGTTTTCTTTGAAAATACCTGTGCTCTGTGTCTCGGTCTCACAGCCCACACTGTGTGGGTTTTCTCTCTGTGGAATCTGGCCTAGCTACCTTGTCTAATTAGTTTGGTTTTGGCTGATTGGGCAAATTGCTCACAGCAGCGGGACAGCGAGCTCTTTTGTGAAGATGGGAGTAAGTTGATCATCATCTGACAGCACTGAACATGGTGTGAACCATTGGTGTATTTATTTGCTGAGACAGGCATCTCTTGCAAGTGTTGTTCAGCTTGTGGAATCACAAATAGTGTGGTGGTGAATACAATATGAGCATCTTTGGAAATGGCTGCAATCAGCTCATGCTGTACCACTTCCTAAGTGAGGTGTAAGAAGAGGCAGGGTGCACTGACCTGGTACCATGTAGAGGTATCTTTTCTGACTTGTGTGGTTGCCCTTACTGTTTTGGGAAGGAAAGAGGAGGCTCAGGAATTGGTAAGACAGTAAGATGGCAAAGAATTACAAATAAGCAGAGGTGATATGTCTTTAATGTGCCTGCATATTGGTTCATTTGGGTTTTTTTCTGGTAGGTCAGGAGAGAGGAAGGAAATGAACACGGAAGATGCTCATAATATTCACTGTCTTTTAGAAGTTAACATTGCAAGCAGAAAGTTTGGATTCAGCTTCTGCTTTGGACCAGTCAGCTGTATTGGAGTCTGTCTCCTGGCTGCACATAAGGGGCTGGAATTACTGTTGAGACACTTGTGAAGTGCTCTGAGGTTTTCTGATGAAGGATGCCATGATAGAAGGAAGTTTGTTTCTTTTTCTAATACTTGAAATTGCACTGGCCAAGTAACAATTAAGTGTAGTAAGGCATTGTCCTTATTTGATATCTGTACTTTTATTGTCCTTTTTCTGGCTATAAACTGAACATGATAAACCTGCTTCAGGGGCACAGTGGTGCTAGATGAGTGAGAATTTTTATACAATTGTTTTTCAGCTAGGGAACAGCTGGAATTTCTGGAGAACAGAAAGAAGCAATACGTGAAGGCAGCCATCAAAGCAAAGAAGGAGAATAACCTTGAACAGGCTAAGATGTATCTCAGAACAGCTAAGAGCTTTGACCTAAAGATTGAGCAAGCAAAACGTGGCAAGCCTGTTGATATTTCCAAGGTTAGTAGGACTGTTAGTATTCTGCTTTGTTTCATCTCTTCACTGTGCCCAAACCCCCTTTTGAGATAAGGATCAGGTGCATGTGATACAGTGGTGCCCTGGTTTCTGTAGGTATTTGAGTAGATGAGGAAACCAAACTGCCCTATAATAGCTCTCCTGACCTGGATAATCAGGGAACTGGGCCTGTAAGACATTCTGCAGTGTTTTCTGACTTAAGCAGTTGTCAAGCAGTGGTGTAAGTCGTGATTGGATGGAATTGCCTTGAGAAGAAGGCATCTCCCTTCACTGACCTTTCCATACATTCTGACTGCTTTCTGTCTACTTCACTTTTTATTATAAGGGCTCTGAAATGGGGTGTTCTTGTGTTGCAGCTGCCATCACCCCCTACAGATGATGAGGGTGACTTTATCTTCATACACCATGACGATGTCAGACTATCCCAGAAAGCAGATGAAGTATATGCACAGCTTATAAAATTGCTGAAAGACCAGCATGAGGTGACCATTTTATTTCTTTCAGAAATATGTGTGTGTTTGGGAGGTATTTTTTTTGTTTTTTTTTAATATTTCTCCGAGTTTTATTAATATTATAATCCCATCATTATTTCTGGGGAACTATTGTTTTTCTTTAAGATAGTTCTGATTTTCTGTGTCCTGAAGTGGAAGATTTTCAAAGTTGGATTTTCTACTAGTTGAAGTCAGAGGATGTGCTTGGAGCCTTGGGACTATCAAATTATCACTATTAAATATGAGGACTCAAATTCGAAAACAGTACCGAAATGATTAAGATTTGGCCTTGGTTGAACCACGTATCTAGAAATTAAGTGATTAAGAAGTAATAGGGCAGAACAGCTCGAACAAATGCTGTGCTCAACTTTGGGCTTAAAGGTCCGGGGGGGTAGATATTTTGGGGTGACTTGGGAAAACTCTTGGGTTTTCTTAAATTAGGTTGTAATGAGCCTCAAAACTCTTTGCCAGTCGTGAATGTGTGTAAGGATCACTGTATGCATCTGTGTTTGTTTGGTTTTGTTTCTGTTGACAGAGGTGTTTGCAGTACTCCAAGCAATTCATGCATCTGGGAAATGTAGCAGAAACGACTCGGTAAGGCCCGCTTTTAATCACCCCACAATGTGGTCATTGCAGGCTTGGGTGTCCCTGACCCACCCAAAGATGATGGGGTTTCAGGTTGGCAAGCTTCTCATGGTGTGAAAGGGTCATTTACTGAGATGCCTGCATCTCTGAGTTGCTTTCAGACCTCTGGTCTTACTCTGTGGCCTGAATGTGGCAGAGTGCTCCGCTTGATGTTCCTGTGTCTGTGTGTAGCTTTTCTATTGTTTTTTTGCCTTTTCTATAGGTTTGAGAAGCTGGCACAAGGTTGTAAAAAGGACATGGACATCCTCCAGCTTGCACGAGCACAAGGAATGGATCCTCCAAGCCATCACTTTGAGGAAAGAACCTTTAAAATGATAAGGTGTGCAAAACCAGAGGAATTTCTGTCAGGCTGGAAGGAGTTCTCTGGTTTCTAACTCTTGTCTAGGGGGGACTTCAGAAGCTCAGGTGGTGTCTGGGGTTAGGCTCAGCATTCCTGAAAAGACACTGTCAACAACTTAAATACAAATAAGTTGTTCTCTAACTTCTCTTCTGGGTTCTTTTGTTTTCAATATATTGCCAACTTAGTCTTCTGTATTCTCATTCTGCTACTTCAGCCACCCTTCCTTCCTCTGTATTCCTCCCTCAGTTCTGTTGCCTTTGGACTTTGTTCCTGGCATTTTTCAGTGTACATCTGAGATGTTTTTATCTTTCTTTGTGCTCTTTCCTTCCTCTTCTGTATCTGATGAAGATGATCTATGTAGGAGCGTGCTATTGAAGAAGGTCTGACAAATACCAGTGACATCCTGGTCTGGCCGTGGATCATGTGGTGGTTGGCTACTGGAATGAATACACTTATTGATTTTTAATTATTTTACAGGATATTTTCTGAGCTCAACAGCACAGAAATGCATCTTCTTATTGTCAGGGGGATAAACCTACCGGCTCCACCAGGTATGTACTCGAGAGGGCACGTGGACTTTTTCCTCTGAAAAGGATAGTAGTGGGAAATGATGTTCTCCTACTTTGAAGACTACTTCAGGGGTCAAGGCCTTTGTAGCCAGCATTCATTAAAACAAAATAACCAGGTTTTTTAGAACACAAAAAAACCTTCAAATGGTACTTAAAAAATCCCAACGAAACAAAAAGCCCAGAATAATAAAGAGAATCTGGGTTCTGTCTGGACAAAGGGGAGAACTTTAAATTGTCCCATAACTGGGTCACAGTTTAAGTTTTATTTATCTCCTGTTATGAGTGCTTGCCTTAACTCTGCACCACCTTAGTGTGTGTTGACCCTTCAGGAGACAGGAGTTGCTCCTGCCAACATTACTGATTTTGTAGTCCCTTGCTTGTGAAGGACTTGTCAACCATCTGTGCTAGATTGTCTCAGGACTAATGACAATATTAGAAGCAAGCAGATGCTTTCCTTTGGGTGCTTTCAGTTGATTTTGGTTTGATGGATGGATTTTTCAGCTGTCAAGTGACAGGTCACGAGTTCTACTGAAAATCAGTTAGGTGCTCTTGAAAATCCTGCTCAGCATTACAGATGCAACGGAAATATCTGTACCAGCGGTTTAGATTGGCTGATTTTTGTCTCATTCAGGTGTATCACCAAGAGATTTGGATGCATTTGTGAAGTTTGAATTTCAGTACCCAAGTGCGGTGAGTGTGTCCTGGCTCTTCTGTTCCTCAGTCTGTGACCCCTGCTGCTGCATTTGCTTGTGAGGGCTTCCAGGGGGAAGCATATGTTTTCTTCTAGAAAAGGAAAACACTTGTAGGGATACCACCTGAGTGCCTGTCTGGAGAAAGGACTTAGGCCATACACGTTTCTTGACCTTACTGATTAATACTTACGTGTATGTGTATATGTACGTGTATGTATATAAAATATACATATTTTATACATATATGTATATAAAATATATACATATTGCTGCTTTCGTTGAAACTGCCCAGTGTCATCCCGTTCCCCTCGCCTCTAAAAGCAGTCTCTGGTCTGAAAAATACTGAGACCAGTGAGCTAGAAGGGCTTCTAAGGAGGGCTGGCTGGTCTTGCTGTCAGTAGAAGTGCTGGGGCTTCTGCTGCTTTATCTGTAGGGCAAAAGCAATCTTTGCCCTTACGGGACTAATACTCAGCTCTGTGATAGTGCAGAGCCTAGATCTTTAAATCCTAATAAATTTTGGAGCAATTCCACTAAAATAAATTCAGCTACCTGTGGGAAATTGGTGATGATCAGATCAGATTTCTGTCGGTTTGAGTTACATGAGGCCTTAATGGAGGTGTGTCCCCCCCATTAGGGCGGCTGCAAACAGAATTGGTCTGAACGAATAATTTTCTGGGGAGTAAGAATCAGCATGGTTGCTTTTAATCTATTTTATTTTGTTTTAAAAAGCCAGGACTGTAGTGCTTAGCCAACAGTCAAAGATACCACCTTTTTCCTTCATAGCTGAAATCAGCTTTGCAAAGTAGCTGCAGTAATTAGGTCACGTTGTCCTTGTTCAGTCCCCAGAGATTTAGTTTGTACTCCGCTTTAGGTTAGAAGTTAATTCATTTTGGTGGCAGATTGATTGTCAGGCAAAATAATAGTAGGGCAATTCCCTGAATGATTTGTGATGATTTCCTTGTGTAGCTTATTATTCCAACTAATGCAGAGGGAACAGAGTTACTGTGTCGTGGGACGTGCGCAGTTTATCACTTAGTTTAACAGCCCCAGTCAGTAGCTTCACGATGATTGGATTGAATTGAGTGTGACCATGTAGCTTATCTGTGGCTCTTGTGTTCAATGTAATGTTTTGGCTTACTTTTTATCTAGTATTACACTTTTTACCACAACGAAATCCAAATATTTTAGTCTTGAATGTACCATGGCTGCTCTTACCGTTCAGATAACTCCCTAAACCTCATATGTCTCTTGTATAGGTATAAAAAAGACCTGGTAATAAAAATGGCTACTGCTGTGTATTTTGAAACAGTATCTGATGGTTTTATGTAATGTGTGTCTCTTTTAATAGGAGCAACCTCAAAAGAGTAAAACACCTGTAATTAACAATACCAATTCTCCAGGTTAGTACATTTTCTGGGACAGAAGGAACAACATTACACTTTAGGAATCACTGGAGACTACAGACTGGTCCCATACTGTGAATCAGGCCAGAGGGGCTCCCACCACTTTTTCCTCTTCCTTATGAAAAGGCTTGTTGGAAGTGAAGTTCAGCTGTGTTGGCAGTTTCCTCACCCTCATCCCAGTATTGGTGGTAGTTTCTGTGTTACAAGTCAGTGAAATCATCAAGGTACCAGTTATGTTCCAGCTATTGCTTTCAGTCCTGCTGGGAGATGGGCCAGATAAATAAATTTTCAAATTACTAATTTTAATATCTACATGGATCAGGTCTTTTTCAGTCAGATTTTGTCCTGTGAGATTGCCAGTTCTGTTGTGATTTTTGCTAATCAGCTAATGTTTCAAAACCTGGCAAAGTATCATTGCAGAAACAGATTATTATTTTTTTAAGACAGTGTCTTGAAACCAACTAAAATACTTTCTTTGTACCTTCTGAAAAATACCCCTTCGGACCTAGCTGTTGAATACCAGTATTAGACTCATCATGTATTTCAGAATGAAGCATCTAGTATCAAAACAGCTTTGAATTCAGTATTCAAATTGCTAGTTGTGAATTTATCTCAAAAGATAGATAGATAGATAGATAGATAGATATATATATATATCTTTTGAGTTTATATTTATTTTCTGTTAAGAGTAGAAGTCCTGAGGCTCTGATGCTGAGAGCTGTGCTCCACATCTTCCAATAGCTTGATCTGCACTTGCTGAGCAGCCTCTTAGCTTTAATGTTTCGGGTTCGCTGGCTGACAAGCAGAGATGAGCGTTCCTGGGAGCACAGATAAGTTTTTGAACTCCAGTTGTAAGATGCTGGGAGACTTTCTGATAAAAAAGCTATGCTGTGTGTTCTCATCACAGTCGTTAAAGAAACTGGTGTTAACACCGTATTAGTTACATTATCAGAGCACCCCTTCCCAGTCATTCCAACCTTCCTGTGCTTTTTCCTTACTACCTTGTACCTTTTTCTTAGTCACAGACACCTTGTTTAATTGCCGAAAGACTTAGATTCTCCAGTAGCTTGCTGTCACCTCCTCGTGATGACGGGTTTTCGGCAGTTTGGTTTCTGACCCTGTAAAGTGGGGACGATGGAGATGAATGGTTGCTCAGGGTCACTGACTGAAATAACCTGAGAAAGAGCTTCATTCGGATGTGAATTTTCTTTCATAAATGAGCCAAACTGAGATAAACAGAAGTCCAAGTATGTCCATGTTATAGTGCACTGCGCATGGTTTGACTTTCACAGCTTTCTCTCATTTTTCTTGACTGTAGAGTATAACCAGCTGTTCAAGTTGAACATCAACCGAAATCACAGAGGTTTCCGACGAGCGATTCGGTCCAAAGGAATTAAATTTGAAATATTTCATAAAGGGTAAGTCAGCAGTTTGCTCCCCTCTCGTTCCTTCTCCAGTAACAGTTGAAAAGTGTTGCTCATGAAATTTATGAAGCACAGTCGTTAAGGTAGCAATAAAGTGTGGTCTGGTTCTCATGGCTGAGGAATCCTTTCAGGCTGTTCCTGAGCTCTCTGTCTTCCCCTGTGGGAGTGAAAAAAAGGCAGTTCAGTGAAGTGGGTTCATAACTGGCAGATGAGTTGAGGATTAGTGCGTTAAAAGGAACTGATGGGACTGAGGAGGTAATGATTCAGCTTCAAATTGTTCTGATTCTTACCCGGTCTGGTTTTAGTCATCAGGATGAGAAGATTTAAGTGTTATATGGGGTAACTTTGTAGGATAATGAAGGACAAGTGGAAGCAAAACATGAACAGCAGTAAAGCAGTAGACAGATGATGGCAGAACTCGTGCTATGTTTTTGTACTTCTCTTCATTCTGAGAATCTTACAATATTTACTGAACACTGCTAGCAAGCTGTTAGACTGTCTTGAGAGAGGCAGACTCTCCTCATCTCAGAGATCAAGGTGATGAGATGGATGTTAACAATTGGTACTGTTCAGGGAAATCATCCTACGTCTAGGCTCATTGCTCATCTATTCAGAATCAGAGGGGCCTGTATTCACAACTCCCTGAGTTGGCTGTGGTCCACGACTTGGATGAGATGTTGGATAACCTGGTTTTGTCTTGGTGGCTCTTGGTGCTGGGCTTTGTTGTTATTACTGGGACACGCGGAAATGTTCCCTAGGTTCTCCAAGATGATTTTCAAACTGTAGATATATTTAATCTGTGTGCTAACTTCCCATTGTTTTTACTGCACATCTGCCATTTACATCTCCACTGAACCAAGAGCTCATTTTCTTCTTTCTTTATCAATCCTGACTGCTCTGTTGTTCAGGCTTTCACCATTACAGATCCTGCTGCTTTTGCATAGAACTGTTAAGTGTTTACATTTGTCTGAAGTATTTTTCCCCATCTTTTGCTTACTGTTGCAGGTATAGAGCATATCCGGTTCTCTTACAGCTGGAACTGTGCTTGCTTTTAAGGTCTGAGCTCAAGCTTAGGTTCACCCATTAGGAAACACTCTCCAGCGATTCATGAGCTGTGTGCCAGCTCCAGATTTGCCTTTGAAGCCTTGTTGAAGATGAGTGAAAAAAATCTGTGCAGGTTGTCTCTTTTCTGGTTCATAAAATCATAGAATGCTGGTTCTTAGATGTATTGTTTTTGTAGTTTCTAGGACAGAAATGTAACAAGTTAAATATTTGTGTGTTTCTGGATTGGGAGGAAGGAAGCAGTCCCCATGGCAAATAGCAACAGGGCAGGAGAAGAAGAAGAAATGTCCACTGATTGCCTTCCCCCAGCCTCATCTCAGGAGAAGGGCGAGGACTGAGTGATCCAGGCTCTTTTCTAAACCCTTTCTGCTCCCTGTCTTTCTTCAAGGCTATAAATGAATCATACTTTCAGAAATGCTTGTAGGTGTTGTAGTTTTGGGGTCTCTGATGGCTCTTTGACCGTCTCCCAAGAATTATTTTCTCTCAGTGAGCAAAGGTGACTTGTTTCAGGTCACATATATTACACTGCAGTTTAAAAACCTCTTTCAAATAAACCCCCAACAATGTATTTTTCCAAAGGAAAAGTCTCTCCTTAAACCTTTCCTAAAAGCTTCTGAAGATGAAAGGAGATTTCCCCAGAGCTGTTTCTGAAGCCATGGCCTAGAGCAAGTTCACATTCTTCACTGCAACCCACTAGAACTGAGCCAGTCTTTATTGTTTCTTGAGTTATAAAATGGAAAAATGCTCTTAAAAAATTCAGCTAGAAGAATTGCTGATTCTCCTTTTAAGTTACTGGACAAAGTGTCCAACATACTGCAGTACAATTATGTAATTCTTCATTTTAAGGTGCTGGTGAAGTAAAGGAAGTATTCTAGCATTAACCTGGTAACTTCTGAGCTTTTCTAAGTGATTTTGTGGGTCTGCTGTAGTCTCATCGATGGAGAACGCAGTCGTATCTTTGGAAAGCTTTCTGTCAACAGAGCTCATAGGCATCGTGTTTGGAGGCAGTGCTGTCAAACCTTGAGGTACTTGTGACATTTAGTACAATTTGTGTTGAGGTGGACACACTGACAAATAGGAGGCAGTCTGAACAACTGAGCGGAGCCTTTCAAGTGCTTCAGCAACAGATTTTGGAACAGATGTGCTTCCTGACAGTGACTCGCTGTGCGTCCCAGTGCATTCAAAGTGGTGGTCTGGCACCCCCCTTTATCCCACCCCGAAGTGTCTGAGCTCGCTGCAGCCTGGGCTGGCAGTACCAGACCATCTCCTCATCTACAGAGACCTGGGTGCTACGTGAGCCAAGATTTGGGTGCTATAGGAGCCACAGCATTCCTGACGCCGCTTCTGGACACGGCATGAAGTGAGGTTAAAGTCTGGATGGCAGGTTCCTTACACTGCAGCTGCTTTGAGCTATGTGGAGAATGTATGAGTGAGGCAGGCACTGAGGCGGCGGATGGGACTTTTCCAGTCAGATTTTGGACAGTGGGGCTCACAGATGTTCTCTTGGAAATTGCAGGCACTGATGGCAGCGTCAGGTCTGTGTGTTAATGCACCTGTAATGTTACTGTTGCCACCGAGGACAGGACCATGAGGCTCCATACGAGAGTCTTCAGAGCTTTTATTGCATGTATCAGGTCCTCCTTGATGATATCTTACTGTAATGTTACTGTTGCCACCGAGGACAGGATCATGAGGCTTCATACGAGAGTCTTCAGAGCTTCTATTGCATGTATCAGGTCCTCCTTGATGACATCTTGATATCTCTTAACGTTAATAGGAAGAAGGGTCGATGTCTTGGGGTTGGTTTCTTTTAATTTGTTTCTTGGTTTGTTTGCTTTTTTTTTTTCCTAAATAGAATGGCATAAAAAAGGAAGCATCTGAGTTCTTGGCAGATCTCCTGTCTAAAGCATGACAGGCATGGCTGGTTGGCTTTCCTACCTTCAGAATCTCTAAATTTTAGTTGATTATCAGATTTGGAGACTTGATTCAGGGAAATGCTTGGATGCAGGCACAGAAATCCAGCGCTCTGGGCTGGACGCTGTTTGTGGCATTAGTGTGTTTTCGTCGTCGTGGTTGCCTTTTGGAGGAGCTTGTCTGGATAAGGACTGCACTGCCTGTCTCTGTTAAGGTAAAGAGGATTGGGGATTGGACTAGATGATCTTTTGAGGTCCCTTCCAATCCCTAATGTTCTGTGATGTCTTGCTGATGAAAGTGTTAAAAGGAGGTGACTGTAGCAGAGGAAAGTCGTCTGTTTTCCTTGCAGGATAAAAATGCTCTGTGTTTAATTTCAGCAGAAATTCTGAAAAGATTGATCTTGAGTGTTGAAACTGAAGGTGAATCAGAACAACAGCTGAAACGAAGTGTGCAACTCGTTGAAGTTGCATTTTTTTCATTTATCAGAATGAAACAGAATGGACCTTTTTCCAAAGAAGCAGTTGGCCAAAGCCAGCACCTGCCTGTGAAGTGGTTGATGAGAGATGCAGCTTCCCTGGGAGGTCTTCCAGCCTGTTCCGTTGCACAGTGCGTTGCAGAGGGTGGCTGCTCTGGCAGCTCGGCCGTGCTTCCCTGTCGCCCTGTGCAGGGATAACAGCTGCTGCCATTGCAAGAGCCAGTTGAGTTGATTGTTTTCTTCACTACTGCCCTCATCTTAAATTTGGTTGAGAGAGAATAATTAGAAAATGAGTACTTCCACATCTTGTCCCTGCAGTTCAGTTCACTGAGGGTTTGCCCCCTGCAGCCTGGTTTGCGGAGTTCTTTTGAGTGACCCTCCTGGATGTGGTGATGGTGCAAACAGTGATGACCTCTTAGCTTGCTTTCTCTTTAATGTTACCCTTACCCATTCAATTAAGGAAGATTTCTTTGAAACAGGTCCTTTTTCAGAAGTGACAAGCACGTGGGGACAGCACACTTGAAACTGGACAAGCTGGAATCAGAATGTGAAGTTAGAGGGATCATCGAGGTACGTTTTCTGAGTGAGGCGTGTTCTAGGAAGTAGTGTTTGAACACAAAGGGAAAATGAAGATTCGCATTGCGTGGGTGTGTTTGTGGTTACAGTTTTGTATTGGATCAATTGGAGAAACAATGGGCTGTTCTTTGTTGTGTAAACTCTCGAAGCTTGTCTTAGCCCTGACAGTTCTGCTGCTGGAAACTTCTTGGGGACTCTCTTCTGCAAACTTTCTGTATCAAGATAGTTTCTTTGTCAGGACCAGAAATTCAGGTGGTTCCCAAAATCATTTGTGTTGGTAGTTCAGTGGGTTAAGTGCAGACTACCAGAGTGGATGGTGAGCTGCTGTGAGATCCAGCAGGACAGCACTAGGGGTGACCTTACAGAAAGACACCACTGCCCTCAGCGTCCTCTGCGCTGCCCATGAGGCCCGTTTGCACCGCAAGGGCTCAGTGCATGGCAGGCAGAGGTAGCACAGCCATTTAAGTTGCCTGGTACCAGTTGTGCTGGGGCACCTGCTCTGCTGAGGTATGAGTCCAGGGAAGCCCATGGCTGTGGGGCACCTCCCAGCACTGCAGTCACCTGCAGGTGACCTCTGCTGTCGTCTTGTCAGGGTGCAGTGGTTGCCCGAGGTGCTCTGGGTTGATACGATCGTTCGTGTGTGCCCTAACTGCTCTTCTTTGTGTGGTTCTTTCAGATTTTTGATGGCAGAAAGCCCACTGGAGGGAAACTGGAGGTAATAGCGAGACTCAGGGAGCCCCTCAGTGGTCAAGATCTTCAAACAGTTACAGAAAATTGGCTGGTCCTTGAACATTAGTGTGATCTCAGGTATGAATCTGTATCTAAAGTTGGTCTGCCCAGAACTTGACAGGGCTGCAGATAAACCCTGCTTGAATAATGTCTTTTGTTGACATTGACCCAATTACACGGCCCTGGCTTTGATACCATTCGTCTTTATATTGGCAGTGGCGAGTTGACACCATTTCAGAAATGAGGTTAAAGAATCTCTGATTAGTTTGTATCTCAAAAATGCTATTTCACAATCTCTTGAAATACAGGGAGAGCTTTATTTAGAATAATATTTAAAAAACAAGACTGAGTCCTTCCCACAAGGGAGGATGCTTTCTGTCCACCCTTTTTGTTGGCAAAAAACCCTTCAGAGATAGCAAAGACCCTTCTTCCCCCACCAGAAGCTACAGAAGGGCATTTGTTTGTCCCTTGAAATTCTGCATGGCTTTGTCTGAGAGGGAAACTATTGGGCATAGGCTTTCTTCTGGATACTCAAGACTTCTGGGCAGTTGAACATGGGCTATCTGAGGAAACGTTGCTGGTGCCCCCTGTGCTTGTATCAAGTACAGAAGAGGAGCTGTGTGCTTCCAGAGTGGCTGTGTATCAGAAGGATAAAAAAAGAGGGAAGCTGCTGCTTCTTGCCAGCCTTTATGAAAATGGCTTGGTTTTGGAGCTTGTCTTCCTTTCTCATGCTTTTTAGGTAGCACAAATTCACCCTTCTTTAAAAGAATAAATTTTATGTATAAAAATGGCAGTTAAGCCTCACAGCTTCACTGCAGCATCCCCTGTCTGCCCCACCACTGCTTCCAATTGGTGTTAAGGTCCCACGGATCAGGAGGCCTTGTTTCAATACCCGAGTCTGAATTTGTCACCCCAGAGGGGCTGTTGGTGACTTGTTCCTCACGCTGGAGGAGGTGTCAGCTGCCCAGGAGCTCCATGGGTTGGCTGTGAGCGACACGTTTGGTGGCCATGGCTGAAGGAACAGCCTGGCCTTGTGCCGTGCCTGGACACCCCAGCAGCTTCAGTCACTGGAGCTTAATAATTTTGTTCCACTGACTTTTCTGGTTGACCATCCAGAAAATTCATGTCAGCATTTTACATATGATGTGACCTTGGATTGTGAACATCTGGTAAGTACTGCAGCAAGTCATTGTACTGTTTCTTGGCTTTTTTTTCCCCAGATCCATGGGAATGTTGGATGAACACATAGAAAGATGCTGCTAGCCGCAAGCACCAAAGACGTTAAACTGCACTACTGAACCTAATGTCTATTTTGATAACAGCCATAGTGCTCATTAACAACTCTAAGGCAAACGTAAGGCTCTGGAATTGGCTGCTGCAGGGGATTGTTACTTTGTGTCTACACAAAATAGAGTTGCCTTAATGCGGACTACTAAGGTAGCGCCAGGACGAATGTTACATGAACTATGCATAGCAGCGTGTGAAGTTTAGCCCCTTAAACATTCCCTGAGGCAGCGCAGAAACTTTTCAGTCAAGCTCCAGGTAAGACCTCTACCAGAACTCGTTTGTTCAGGCGTACGAGCAGCCAGTGTGGCACAGTGAGCAGGCGGCGGCTGCTGCTGCTTTGGGGGGCCGGGGTCTTCGGCGCCGGCTGCCGCTGCTGCTGCTGCTGCTCGCTCTCATCGAGGCCGGTTTGGGGTTTTTTGTGTTTCCTGAAATAGCGGGGCGAGAACTCGGGCGGCAGCAGCAGCACGTCCCTGCTCTACGGGTGCCATTGCAGCACAGAGTTGAAGGGGATGCTGCCTTTCCGAAGGAAGGAAAGCAAAACCTGAGAGCAGCGTGTGGTTACAGAGCTGCATTTTTGTTCTGGCTGCCAGTTCTCTGCTGTGCTTGCTGCACTGGTTGGTCAGTGCAGCCCAGGTACTGTGCCTTCATCCTTTTTCTCAATTATTTTTTTTTTCCTTTCAAAAACAGGATTAAAAAAAAGCACGCTAGGCTCTGCTGCTGCCCAAATGTTCCCTCTGTTTTTACAAAAATAGGCTTTTACAGCTCTCCCAGGTGATGGGGCAAACAGCCACTCTTTGTCACGTAGAAAACTGGATGGTGACTATTTTCAGGAATGCTTTTATCAGCAGCATACAAAAATGGTACCAAATACGTTTGTGTTTTAAATCTCCGTGAGCTAACGGACGACCGATCTCACAGGAGAGGAGGTCCCTGCAGAGGGAGTGGGAGCTCCTGCTCCAGCTGCTTGGGGAAGGTTTGCAGACAAAAGAGTCCAGAGAAGGAAGGCAGCGCTGCCTCTGCCTCCCTGAGCAGATGAAGACAATACAGTGTTTAGTTTTTAATTTCAATAAATTTAATATACAAAACTACATGTTGAAAATAAAAATATAATATGCAGTTTTTTGCAGTGTTAACTAACTGAATTTTAAAAGTACAATTTTTTTTTTTCTAAAACAAGTACTCAATTCTTAACAACATGGTAATTAAGGTCATTTCAAAGGCTATGGTTGAAGCAAACAAGTCAGTCACCGGTTGATAGTGTTTTGCACAAACATGATCCAAACCTAAAAGACTTTTGGGGCAAAGGAAGAGAGGGTAAAGATTTTTCACCTCTTTTACTGCATCATTAAGCATAACAATGCAACTAAGGGAACTGGAAAGCCGCTGCTGTGGCAAAGCTGGAGTGCGGGTTCTAGAGGGAAGATCTTTACTTGGTGTGTGGATCGCTCTCCCAGTGACTGGATCTCGCCCGCACCACGCAGCGCTGAGCTGTGTCCCAGAGCGTGCAAAACTGTGTGGAGGGGATGGGGCAGCACCCTTCGTCCTGCTCTGCTGCACAAGTCCACAGGCAGGCGGCTGAGTGTGCACTGGGGTAAGGTTTGTCCATGGAAGGTGAAGCCACATGAAGCCAGCCACCAGGGACCGCTTTGGCGTGCCGCAGGCGCTACCTGTCGCGGGCCAGCCCTTGTTGCTGGAGCTGGCCTCCAGCTCTGCCCTGCCCTCTGCAAGTGCTGGCTGGTGCCAGCTGTAATTTGCAATACTGGATTTGTCAGACTTTGCTTTCTTTAAAAAGCAGTAGCCATTTATTCACAAGTGCACTCGACATACGCTGTGCTGTCTTTACATAAAATACATTGCTGTGTGTGCAGTTATCTTTTCCTTTAGCCCAGCTAATGCTGTGTTTATTTAAAAAATACAGCGTTGATCTCACAGTAGCCTTGCGCTTCCCTTTATATTTTGAAGGATGCCTGTTACTCACATAGAGCAAAACCAATCCCTGCTGCATCCACCAGAGCTGACGGGGAGTAGGGATGATGCAAAGCCTGAGGTACTGTGTTCACATACATTAGCCCCTCTCTTCCCAAATCAACTTTCTGTATAGACAGGAGGGGAAGCCTTCACCCCCCTTCCTGGGAGGGCCTCAAACAGCTGCTTTGCGTGGCTGTGGCTAAAGGAACCAAACCCCTTCTGCTTTCAGCTCTTGCTCCTGGTTAGCAGCTTTCCATGGAGCCACACTTCCTCTGATCCTCACTGCCAGCTTCACAACGTCGTGGCAGATGGGAGCAGCCACTTTCCTTACTTAACGCCCTCTCAGGTGAGACCAAGAGCACTGGGCCAAGTGCAAGTGTTCAGAGCTGACCAGAAAGCCTTTTTTTCAGCAGAACATGCAAAAACAGCCGCTCTATACTTTTATCACAGGTAAGCTTTAACATGGTGCTGCTGACATGAAGTGCAAGCTGTCTCGCAGTACGTGACGCTAGTGCTACACTACAGCATACAGCGAGGAGGAGACTCGAAGCTGCCCTGGGTGTTACTTTTCTTTATAAAGCAGGACCTACTGGGGAAGAGGAATGAGATATAACTGCACTTTGGGGCTAACACAGCCTCTGCTTCATACAGCTTTGTAAACAAAGTACAGAGTAGCAGAGGTGTTCTAGGAGATCACAGAAATCTGCTGAGGTGATGTTTTCATAGTAGATAGAGGGGAAAAAAGTAAACTAGCCTATGACACACAGAACTGCAGTTTACACAGTACCACTTCCAGAGATGCCTGCCCTGCTGCTCATCTGGACGCGTACACAAACGTGGTTATGGCTGGGTGATCTTTCCGGATCCCTCAAGGGCTACTCCGAGTGTGTGTCAACCAATGACCTGGTCAGAGTGATGTAAACGTTACTTTTTAATGTCTACAGAATAACCACACATGGCATGATGATGAGGTCAGAATGGAGGTCTTGATTGTTGTTTCTCACGTGTCCATCTATAAACAGTACAAGATTGAAGTTTCACTTTTTATTTACGCCTCAGTGATCTTCGCACCCGTTTGAGCATTTAGAGTACATGACTGTAAGTCTTTAAACATGAGCATTTCTCTAACAGTAACAGAAGTGTATTAGCTGCAAGGATAGCATAGCCATGTTGTTGTATAGAAGCTGCCCTGATCCTCTGGTTGTTGACAATGCATAGAAGATTTAGAATTATGGAACAACTGTCCCTCCCTCCTCCCCCCCCTTCCCCCATAGTGTTAACAAAAGCTTAATTTTCCAGTTTTAAAGTGCAAATGATTCAGATACAACTGCTGCTGGAACAGGTCTGAACAGAAAATGAAGTCCTCTTATGAGATGTTTTCCAGAATATAAAAGATGAGCTCCATTATGACTGGCCCCTCACTCAACTGACATGCCCCTCCATGAATCACTGGAACTAAGGCACTGTCCAGGTCATTCATGTATTGAGAGGGCAGTGGCTGTCCATTACTCCCAGCTTGATAACCAACCTAAAAAATACAAAGTAAGAGCGTGGTTTACAGAGAGCAGGACACCAGGCTGTGGTTCAGGGGGCAGTAAAAGGGCAGTGCGGTGCAGGGGGATGAGCTGTGGGAGGTGCTGCGGCCTCTGCCCAGGGAAGCTGGGCACTTGAACAGGATGTAGCAGGCACTGAAGCAGCTTTGCTACTTGGTTGTGTTCTCTATGTTCCCCGTGGCTGCCTAGACAAAAGTACCCTCTATTTTTCTACTGCTTTGTTAAAGCAG